GCAGCTCTGAATCCTTCTTCTTTACATCTCCTTCTTCTCTAGGACAGTAAATTATTTTTGATTAGGTTGATGTGTTCATCTCAAGCTTTGTAACTATTACAACCATACATTTAAAATACTTGTTGCCTTACCACAGTGGTGAGATTCAGCTGGTGCATAGTATTGTGCTCTAGTTTTTCCTCTGCTGCTCGCTGCTAGGAGTGCACTGCAGTGTGTCAGAAAAGTAAATGACTGATATGATTAAGGCATAGTTCTATATAGTCCACAATTGAATGAACTTTAGGTTAGTTGATGGAGATTTGCAAAAATATCAAATGATGCAATAATGGAATGTAATAAATAAGTTTTGGGCACTTTTCCCAGCCATATGGGCCTGAATGGGTAAGGTGATGTAGTGACACATAAGATTTTGTGGTATGTGTATGTTTTTGTTTGGTGGTGGTTTTTTTTTTTGGTGTTGGTTTTGTTTTTTGTTTTTCTGCTTTAGCAAAGAAAGCATCCACTAGAGGATTCTCTCATGCATCCACTGCATTCACTTCTCTTTAACCTTCCTTGATGAGCTGAAATGCCCTGTTTTTTAAATAGAAGACTTGAAAGACTCTCTGAATGGCTTTTAAATGCATTTGCTAAACAAATGTCTTGAGGTTCTTTAAACTGATGCCTTTTCCTTGCTTTGCCTCTTGGAGTTATTTTTTCCTGTGTTTGTACTTCCTAAACAGTTATTGAGACTGATGGATGTGAATTAAAGCACACAATAAGTTGATTGGAAAAATAAATGGCTTTATATTAGGAACCTGTCCTGGCAATAAAATGTTTGAAATGTGCATACTTATTCATATGGTAATAAAAGGCCCTTTTAGAGACAAGTGCTGAATAGAATGATTCAGCCTGCCTGTGGTTGCTGCAGGTACATAACCTGGTAGTAATTAATTTGAACACCCATCAGTTAGGTGACCAGATATGGCATGTAGCACTTAAAAGAAATGTGCTTGTTGAATTTACGCAACTTAGCCTCAAAGCTAATGTGTTCTTCACATATTCACATCTGAAGTGATTTAATGATTTGATTAGTAGCTTGGCAATGAAAAAAAAATTATTTTAGACTTATTTAGAAACATGATCCATTTTTCACTGAAATACTTTCTCTCAGCAGACCAAACTAGGTAGGAATTCTCTTCCCTCTCCCACCCTAGTTTCTGCCAGTAATGGCCAATATAAGAAAAAGAAAAAAGGAGGTGGTGGTGGTGAACATTGAACACTTGCACAGGTTTTTCTTTGGATCCAGGGTAAAATTTGTTGGTTGATATGAAGTATTTAAATTTGCTGTGAGGGGTTGGGACAACTGTATCAAGGGATGATAGTTATCCTTGAAAGTCAGGTAGGGATTGTTGGCGTATTTAAAGAAGACTACTAAGGTTATCCATAGAACACATGCTGAGATACCCTCCCATCATAGTTAGGTCCCTGCAGTGCTGAATACCAAGTGTTAATGATGCCAATATTCTCCTTTGCTTCTGCAGCTCAGGACACAGCTCTTGAAGATCTAATGCAAGGTAGATGTTTGTCTATAAAAGCCTCTTAGCGCTTCCCAAAGTTAGGCTATAGAGGCTGCTATGGTCGTGAAATGATTGGTAGCTCAGTAATCTGCTTTACAAAAAGCCCTGAGAGAAGTATCTATATCTATGTATATTTAATAATGAGAGAATTTCAAATGGACTAGAATTTGACTTGCTGCTCAGGAATGGACAGAAGCTGCTCATACTGCTTAAATCCTTGTATATGTAGGTAATGTGAGGACTTTTAATTTTTTCATGATTTTTAGTCTTTTCCAGCTCTGCTCTAAAACAGTTCTTCCAGTTAGAAGTGATCTGTGACATACAGAATTTGTGAAGAAAAATGTACAAAAGAGAGTTTAAGATCATATTACTAATTTTTTTTTCCTTGTAATGTTTCAGATTTTTCTCCTTGCCTGTCCTCCATGTCGGCTCGCAATGATTCTTTTCAGGTAATGCCTTGTCCTTGCTACATTTCTGTCTACTTGCACGATGTGCTTTAGAAGTCGATCGTGGTTTAAGTCATAAAATATTAAGATATACACTCAGTTCTTAGTTAGAAAGGAATACTGGTTGTACTGAAAGATGAGTCCTTGAACAGAGTCATGGCTTCAAGCGTGGGTGCTGAGTCCACTTACCCTTGTTCCTTTTTTACTGGTGGTGGTTTTGGTCTCACTAGCAACATCTATTAGCAGAGTCCTTGATGAGAGCACAAGTGTCCTACTACAGATTAACCTATGAGCTTGTTTAATTTACATCATGTGCCTTGTACTTTCTGATTATCTTCACATTAGTAGCTAATCTTTGTAGAAGGCCATATGCACAGTATGGGTCTATTTTATTTATTTATTTATTTATTTATGTTGAGATAGGTTAAAGCAAATTCTTCCTGATTTGGGTATTTCACAAACATGTGCAATCTTCTCTGTAATGTTGCTTATTGTTATCAGCTTTAGGAAGTGGTCTAATGGACAAGTGCAGTAGAGTGATCAGCTCGTACTTTTTATAGGCTCTTACCTGCAGGGTCTTAAAAGTTCTTATTCTCAAAGCCCCTCTCTCACAAGCACTGCATTGCAGGGGTTCAGTTAAGTCATATTGTAGGAAGGGTCATGGGGCTTCCCGGACAGGATGAGAATCAGGAATGGCTGTAGTTGTCACCATGACAGTTCACTTGGCTCTCTCCTGTCTTAGTCTAAGCAGTGACTGAAAAATATGATGCTGGGGGCCTGTTTCATGAACTGGTTTGGAGGTGTTACTGTCTGGCTGCAGCTTTTTCCTGCTGCTCCTTGTTTGGGCAGGGAACAGCTGAATGCAGAGATCAGTTCTAGTGCCTCTTCATCTCAGAGTGTGCAAAGTCAGTCTGGTGTCTGGCAAACCCTGGATTTGTTATGCATTTGCAAAGGAGTGGTTGCAGGGCAGAGGCTGCAGTATTTGTTCTTTTTCAGAGTGAAGCTTTTTGTTTTCTGACATCCTGACATATAAATGGCATTTGAAGAACTATTTAGGAATTATAACAACTTTCCCCCACTTCTAGTTACTTATAAGCCTTGTAATTTTTAATAGAGTTTATGACAGGCAGTGGTTATAGAATGAATTTTATGCTTTACTTTGTCTCTTCTATAAATTAAAACATACTGACCTTATGTCTGTGTGTATCTGATATGATGGTGGTTCAGGGAGAGATGACTGAAAGCTGTAAAAAATACATCACCGTAATTTAAAGTAATTCAATACCCTTCTCTTTTCTTGAGATTTGCTGTTGCATCTTAAATAAAGAATTATATTTGTTAAGTAACTAAAAAATCAGACTTCTTTGAAATTCCTAAGATTTTAGTTTGATGTTATGTACATCTATCGAGTTAGATGGAAGTAAAAACTTTATAAAATCTCTATGGTAAGCTCCAGAAGCAAAATGAACAGGAAAATTCCAATCATTCAGCAGCCTGGACCATGAACAGGATTAATATGAACAGGAAGCCTAGACCTTCTAGGAATCCATAACTCATTATAGAAAGCAGTACTACTTCAGGAAATTATTTAAATGCTTATTTAAAGAGAGGTTTTTACCCTGGCTATTGCAGTTAACAGTGACTTATTCAAATTCAAGGCAGCAGAATCTTCTGAAATCTCTTGCTGCTTTTTATGGAAGACATACTACATAAAATACTATGTAACTATACATAATATACACATGTAGCATGCTAAATAAAAACATTGCATTTCATTACCAATCTATGAAAATGATGTCTCATCTCTCTTCTAAGGTTACAGATGCATATGTTAAATGGAGCGCTCTTGGCACTGCTGTTTCCTGTTGTGAACACGCGCCTGGTGAGTGTGCAATACCTTTCCTTTCCTCCAACATTTCCTTCTATGGTACTTTGTCTAGAAAGGTACCTGATCCTTGCTTGAGCAGTCTTTAGAGATGGCTAAATTACACAGATTTGGTTGAGGAGCTATACTTCTACAATACTAAGCAGTTTTGATGGATAAAATTTCTTGCTGCATTTAAATTCACTGGTCATGGAATATCTTTATTTCTGCAAATAGCTCTTCCCTCTTAATTAATTTCAGCAGAATTAATACTATTTGCATAATGAATCTGAGTGATCTATAAATACCCGCTAGATTTTTGTATTGAAGAGATAGCCAAGACACTGAGAAAAATGATGGGGTGAGAGAGTTTCACTCAAAGCAGGTAAGTTAGCTATTTTACTAAGATCTTTCTGATGATTATCTAGATTATCACTGAGTTGCTGCTTCTGCTATGAAGAACTTGCTGTTTTGAATAGGTTAGATTATTAACACTTGCAAGTAGCTGCCTTTCTTCATCCCAGTCCCTTTTATAAAGCTATCTAGAATCTAGAAGGTGGTTCTTCTACATTGCAGAGGCAAATTAACTGCTTCCTAAATGCAGTTTTTAATTCGTATTATTTTAGCAGTGTTTGAGTCAACAGTATTGAAAGTCTGGAACTGAAGAACTAGTTTCTTTTCAAGCAGATGCTTGTAAAACTATAAATACAAGTATAAGAATATAATATATAGATGAAAAATATAAAAAGAAATGTAGACTTTAGAATGGCTAAGTTGTCCAATGGAGCTGTCAAGGATGATTTGACAGCAGGGTGACTTAGAGGCTGGTTACTAGCTTGTGCTACCTTTTGTCCTTGTCTTTTACAGGGTAAAGAGGTTGTGGGGAATAAGTTAATGCAAAAAAGTACTTTCTCTCTCACACATGATTAGGTTAATTCTGAACTCTAAATTCTTTTGTAGGGTGGCAGCAGCGCAGTCAGGAATGTAGCTGTAGCATCATATCGTACCTGTGGTGAGCTTAACCTAGTAAACTTCGGCAAGCAAGAGCTGTAAAGATGTGGCAGTGCAGTTTGTATAGGCTGCTAATACAAAGACATATTCAGTGTTCCACCATGTCTTGACTCTACGAATAATCTTCAGCACAGATTCTCTTTATAAACCTCACGACTGCTTGTGCGTGCTAACACTTCCCTTCAGTAGCAGATGCAGATTCTGATTCTCTCCCTCTGTGTGTGTGTGTGTGTGTGTGTGTGAAAATGAAAACTAGATAAAATCGGATAAAACCGATCAATTAATGCTACCTTAAGGCATTATATTATAATTCTCTCTTCTGACTGTATTGTATAGAAGATGACAGATGTCTACTTAAAGCTGAGATTCATGGTTTATTTTTGGGTACGGGGGAGGAGTTTGTATCAGTTATAGACAAGCAGGTATGTATCAGGAAATCTGAATGCAACAAGCTGCCCCTTTTAGACCCTAGCATAGATGTCACACAGATGGGTATCTGATACTTAGCTACAGCCCTGGTACTCATGTATTTTAAGTGGCTTTGCTCCTGACATTAATGTCAACATTAACATATCTTTCTTTTTGCCCATTTGAGTATGTGGAAATCCCTTAGTAATCTACACCAGGTAGACAAACTGGTGCTTAAGCTGTAGAAATGGTTGAATAGTGTAACAGTAACTTCAGCATTGGTCAACTTTTTGGCTACTTGCCAATTTGGATGCTTGCTTGAGAAATGAATCCTAGCAGGACTGAAAATAATCTGTTTTCTGAGGACCGCTTGTGTTTTTGTTTTGGATTTTTTTTTCTTTTTGAAAACTTCATGGTCCGTCTTTGGTCTCTTAAACTTCTTTGGCAGCTGTCCCTCTGCCAAATAAGTCATCTGCTATCCTGAATAGGCTGAGAAGTAATCAACATCTGTTACATGGACCTAGTAGCTGTTTGCCCCCTATTTTCTGCACTATGCAGCTTTATATAGGTTCCCCCTCTCTCCCATTTCGTGTATATTGTGTTTCATTGCAGGTTAAATTTTAAAATCAGCTTGTCATTCACTTGTGGATTACTGACCCTGTCTAGGAAACAAGTCATTGATTATGAATCTGGGTTAGTGACTATGTGTAGGAAAGCTACAGGCGCAGGATGCCGCTTGGGGCTTTCCTGCAGACACGCAGCCTTCCTGCTGGGTGTGCTACAGAAAAGGGCAGAGCTGAACTACCTCTGTGCCTTCTTCTGCCATACCCTGCAGTCTTTGTAGAGGACGGTGGATGGAGAGCTCTTGCACAGCACAGTGCTTGGCCTATTGTTGCAAATATAAAGCCAAGGTATAAATAATTAACAGAGGCAGGAGTACTGCTTTCAGAAAATAGAGCAAAGTAGCAACATGCTATCCCACTGAAAACCACCTGCTTAGCTGAAGTGGCTTTCGTCTAGCGTTTTACCCTGCTTTGTGGGGCAGGGAGAATCATCATCTAAATAACAGACTTCTGGGCTCAACTTTACTTGAAGCTCTGCAGTTCTGAAAAGTTTTTTCTAAATCTTACTGCAGTCAATGGACAGACCTAATTGTTTCCTTAGGGCAATAGCTGGTTTAAGTTAGGACATCCATTGTGTTCTCAGAGGACTGCTGCTTATGGCCAGGACTTTTCTTGCTCAGGGACAAGTGCTGAGCTACAACATAGTTCTCTTTTCTACAGTCTCTCAAGCAATGGAATTAGCTGCTAAGAGTTTAGCTAGACCAGTGAACCTAACTTACCCATTGCTGGGATGAAAGCTTACTGCCTGCTCACTTTATTCTTGGTACGTCTCAAGTGAGCCCTTAGCAAGTGTCCTGGTATGTGGCACTTCTGACACTGCACCATACTGCACTGATGTGGGTGCAAGCAGCAGATATGGCTACTTTTGAGGCAAACTCTTCCTGAAAAACAAAACACCATACATTTTCTGATGAAAGTTTTGTTAGGAAAATGTAAAAACTGAATAGTCTGAATGTCAATTTATTTAACATTTATTTATTTAGTCTTATATAGTTCTCTGGATTTTGTGTGTATGTCTGAAGAATTGTGAATGTTGGTATTAGGTTGTGTCAAAACAGCATGTTTTTATGCCAGTGTTAAAACCAGTGAATGAACAATGAACGAATTTTTCTTCAAGTAGGAACTTATGATCTTGGATCTTGATTAGCAAAGTAACCAGTATTCTGTATCCATTTATACTGTTAAGAGAGAGAGAGAATATGAGAAGAATGGAAAATTTGTCATTTTTTTCTTGTACAGGTGTGGATAAAGAAATACACTGCCCTTGTTACTAGGGAAGTACCTGTTCTTCTTGAGAGTGGTTGCTAAGTGGTTGATGAGAAGAGACGTGTCTGTTGGGGCCTGTGGAAAGGGTCTACTTTAGAGTTTGCTGGAGCCTGCATTTAGCTACTCATGGGCTTTGCAGCTGCATACTGTCAAATATTATGAGACGAATTTACTCAGGAGGCAGTATTCTGGTCACATATGTTCTACGTGTTGCTTTGATTTTTGGATATGTCAAACTTGCTCACATTCTGAAATGCTAATTTGTTTTCACAAAGATGTCTTTAAAATCCTGGATTCATGGGTGATCCTACATTGTCTCCACTTGCAAACTCTTGTTGCACATTCAAGGTACCTATCTGCTACCTGTGAATGAGTGCTTATTGATAAAACAATATACAGAGCAGACCTTTAGAGCTGGGTGAGTCAGTTGTTCTGTACAACTTTACAGTTAGTCTTTTGTGTTTGTTCTTTTCTCTTTATTGTAGCTTGGCTGTACAGAGAAGTCTGCATTGCCAGTTCCGTACCAGGAAATACACTTGCATAATTAGTCAGGCTTCAGAACAATTGATCTTTCAGCAAAAAAAAAAAAATGTTGGTTTGTTTTACACAAAAAATCACTACTGCAGCAGAACAAGTGTCACTGTGTTCTCAGAAGTGTCCTGAGCATAATGTTTGTGTAACTGACCCTCACAACGTGGCAAGTGCAGAAGCTCTTTGAAAACCCAAGGATCCTAGAGCAGGAGCTCCTTGGCAGGGAGCGGGTGCCTGTGCTGTGGTATTTGTTAGGAGCTGTTGTTTCTGGAGTGTGCCTGTTCCAGTGGGGAGAGCTTCGGGTTCCTTCCCATTGCTACAGCTGTGTTAGCCTCTTTTCAAATCTTCGTACTTGATAGCCTGTTTTTACCCTCTGTGTCTTTCAACAGGTAATACAAGTAATACAACAAGTAATATAGGAGATAAGGAAAAGATCAATATTCAGGAAAGTTTAGAATTTCTGTGAAGTTCTTCCTTTTGCATACATAACCAGCTTGCTTTAGCTTATTTCCTAAGAATTGGCCGAAGATGTTGGAGTTTGCAATCAAGCAACTAACGAAATCAAGCAGCTGGGTTTAACAGCGTTTACATTCAAAATTAAAAAAAAATAGGATTTTAAACATCACTGTAGTATTTATTTACTGTTTACTGACAGTTATTTAGACTGTTCCTTGACTGTTATTTAGAAAGCATGTGAAGAATGGTGTTTCAGTTTCAACATTATGACTTTAATATCTTCTAACAATAATGGAAAAGACGGGCTTTTCTTTGCCCCCTTTTTTTTTCTCTTTTAAACAGAGAAGCCATGATAATACAGGAAGACACTTTAGCATTTAAAATGACTGCATTTGAACGAAACCTAATGCATTACTCCTGTGAGATTTCAGACTCAAGTAAGGGTATTGTCTGATTCTCACCTCTGAAATATATTAGAAAAGCGTGTCCTTTCAGCCGTTTAAGTGAATGGCAACAACAACCTGGATTCCAAATTTTGAATTAGATTTTTTTTCCTGCCTTTGTTCAATTTTAAATGTATTACGCTTTAGTTTGAGCCTTTTTTAGTAACAAATGGATATAGACAAAGACACTTACAGGGGATGAAAATAACTTCCAAATAGAGTGTATTACTTTTTCTAGCTCATACCGAACTAGAATTAGAATTAGTTTGGCTCTGGTTCAGGTTATTTTTAGAACAGTATTATTTTTGCACAGGCTGTCTGACCTCTCCTCCAAGAGGTAACATAAATTCAGCTATACACACAAATGCATAACAGTGACTTCTCAGAAGTTGTTACCACATGAGGAATACCTAATTTACCACTAGCAGGTAACTTGTTCATATCCATTTTTATGCAGCTTGAAGATTGACTGATATTCATCTATTTTGAATTTTACTGGTTTTAAGAGAAGCACAGTAGTTTCATACATGTATGCATTTGAAAATAAGACCTTTCAAAAAATTTTGCATGGGTTCTCTCAACAGTAACTTTTATTTAAAAAAATAAAATTTGTTGTAATGAAAAGTACTTTCTGTATGGACTTTTATCACTTGCAAGCTAGCAGTTTGTTGTAAAAAGAACTCAAATGGATTCTCATAGGGCATAAAAAGTTTTTCTTAAAAATAGTTCCTTGTGACTCAATTGTTAATAACAAAATATTTTTCTTATTCCTCAGCTACCATTTGAAATGGAAATTTATTACATCCAGCATGTGATGCTCTATGTTGTGCCCATCTACCTGCTGCGGAAAGGAGGTAGGTTGGCACTTCAGCCTTTTTATGTTGAATTGACCCCACCCACTGGAAGAAGCTGTGCCTAATGGCTACCACAGATTTTGCTCTTTTGCAGCATTACTCTTGTATGTTATTTAACCGTTCCTAGTGGTATGTTGGAGTTCCGTCCAGGAAAACAGCGTCAGGCACTGCATTAGTGGAGTAAAATGATGGTATTTTGCCAAAACAGGTTATGTTACTTTCAAGACTCTTGCCTTTTTTCATGTTTCCTTGAAAGTATTGCACCTTAAACTGAGCTGAAAAGAACTCTTTTTACCCCTAGATCCCAGGTAAATATTAATCAGCTGGTTAGATAATTTCTTGGAATTCTGCAGCTCTAATTAACTGCTGTGGCACACATTAGTGAAACAGGCTGGCTTGCTTGTTATCTTCTCCAACAGGATTAGTATCTGGATTCATTTTACTGTAATATTTGCAATAAGCCTGGGAATCCTAAATCACTGTGCTGACTAGGGTCTTTGTGACCTTCATCCCTTAGAAGGTACATGTTCATTTGGTGCAGTGCTCTGACCCCCTCGCATGTTCATGTGCCTTCAGCTGCTTTATCCAGCAGAACTACATTGTTTCGTTGAGGAAGTAGGAGATCATAATGTGTGATTCACATGTTCAGTAGCTTCAGTTGACAGCCTAGGGATGTGATGCTGAGCAATGGGATACGGTTTAACAAACATGGAAAAAAAAAACTCATCCTGTTTCATTCTGGTGATTCTTTTACTTTACAGCAGCAGCCCCTTACAATCCTTTGCACTTACTACACTATAAGGTTGTAACTTTCTTCTTGTTCTTGATTATTGAAAATGATCCAAATAAAAAGTGAAATAATAATTCAGAGATCACTCTGCTTGGCTCTTTAGTGAAATATGCCAGCCACATTTTGTTTCGATGCAACGCTGATAGCATTGTATGCCAGAATTTTAAGACACAGTAAAACAGAAGTTATGTAAACTCCTATTAATTATAGAAGGCAAAGAGGAAAAAACAGTGTTTACAGCCAGGTAATACGTTTTAGGCAATGACCAATCACGCTCTTGTAGTATTACCGTATCACTTCTTTTGATGTCCTTTAAGTTCCTAAATAATGTATCACTTCGAGTTATATATTTGCCTTGCTCTTATGTTTGTCATTGAATGTTGTTTGTGATCTGCCTTGGAATTTCCAAGTGAATGTTATCCTGTTTTTCCTGTGCCTTATATCTGGGGCTGATGGGACTTTTATCTGTAGTTTGAAGGGCTTTGTGTTGCAGTGTCTCCTTTGCAGCCTAATGTGCCCTTTATTAATTTCCAGGTATCTGCTGCCATCTAATGTTGACATGATAGTACTGAAATTTCAAACCCAAACTTCATTGGCTAAATAATCAATTGAGATTGCTCTAGGCTGTGTAACTAACTTCAGTTTCTTATTCTGGTGGTTCCTGCTAGTCACCTGAATTACTGTAATAACTCATTAGCAAAACACATGAACTTTAGTAGTAGTTATGGCTGATGCCACAGATGACTAAATTTATAATTGTTCATAGAAACTCTTGTTGACTCAGCCTAAATATTTATTAATATTTTTGTCATTTCAATAGTACCTGTGTTTAAAAACACTTTCTAAGTAGATGATACCCTTTATTATATATTGTGCAACTACTCTGTTGTCATGGACATTGATCAGCCCTACATTTACTGATAGTAGCTCTATTTCTATATTTCGGATAGGAAGCTCTACCAGTGAATCCATCAATTTTTATGCAGAAGTAACTGAAGGGGAGTAAGAATTGAGAAAATGAATGGATAGGATGTGAAAAAGTCTATTACTTCAGTTTTACTGGAAACCTATTGAGATTACTGATTGCTGTAATAGAATCTATTACAATATTAATATTTCTGTCAACTGAGTTGAGCAAAACACCTGAAGCAGAGGTGGCTTGATGCTTCTTCTAGATAGAAGTGAATGAATGATTTTGACATGCTAATTGAGTATCACCCTAATCATGCACATGGTCTCATTAGGTGTTTAAGTATTTCCTTTTGGACAGGAATCTGGGAGACAGTAAGGGAGGACTACAAATGCCTTTTAGTCCTTCCCTATGAATTTCCTGTTATCATTATGGTGGTGAAGACAGGATGTGGTGCACTGGCCACATCATCCTTAGTGCCCTCCCTGCTCAGTGTGCGGGTTCCACCATGCATAGGATTAAATTGATGCACTAGAGAGATGTCCAGTGTTCACGCTTCAGTGTTGCACAATGAACTGACCAGGAGCTCAGTGCTCAAAGATGAATCTCTCCTTGGTAATTAAGATTTCTTACCCTTTTCTTCCTGTCTCCCCACCGTTTGCACTGAATTTCCTTTCTAACAGATATCCTTTCTAAGTGTGCATATGCATGTACGTGTGCACATATACACACATACTACTTGGAGACAAAATGATTGCTCATGTGCTGTACTTCAGACCTTTCTCAGCTGCATACAAAACAGATGGAGTGCAGACGTAACAGGTCAGCACAGAAGACTGTAACTCAAGGTAGTTCCTACATGAAGGAGATCTATAGTTTGCTGCTATCCTGTTGGATGAATCTCACCTTGTATCCCATGAACCCATGGTCATATGAACCTTGCCAAAAATTATATTCTAGATCTGGGCAGGAAGCAGCTTTTCTGAAAGAGCTCTGATCAGACTGTCCAACTGTAGGACAAAACAGGACCCATAGCAGCACTGAATTAGACCATGGAACCCATTCACTGAGAGCTCTTCAAACCTCTTTCATCTGCAGTCACAACTAAGCTGCTCTTCTGAAGCATACAAGTTTGCTCACATAGATAAGGATACTGAATTTGGTCGCTTGCTGGTAGAGGGCTTAGGCAGCTGGGGAATTATGATGTCTCAAAGTATCACCGCTGTTTCAGGAGGGCATTAGCCAGACCTCCAAGATTAGAGTCCTAGTGGTGTTCAGGGAAATTTAATTTTGCCTACTGTATGCTTGTGGCATAATGGAAAGAAAAACCTAGCTTAAACTGCATCAGCCTCAGAGATCTAACTATTCCTGACTGGGAACTATTCCTGGCTTGGGCCTTAAGCTAGGGAATCTATCCGTGGTCAGGTTTTGGGTTGGATTTGACAAGATCAGATATGCACTTGGTTTTACAGCTCCAAATTATATTTCCAAATGTCCAGCTCCAAATTTCAATTTAATCAAAATGGTGGTGTTATTTTTTAAGTGCTGTGAGCAAATGCTTAGCATTCCATAATGATACAGAATAAGAGTTAATATGGGGTTTAGGATTGGGATCTGCAGCATAGGAAATACCAGGAAATAACAATATAACAGGAAATAACAGGAATATTTTTTTCTTTTTTTGGGGGGTGGGGTGAGATCTAGCACTCTAAGGAGCAATCTGATGTACAAAACAGATATACCTGAAGTTCTGGCAGTTTCCCTTATGCTTAGCCAGACAGGCCTTTGTATCCATGTCACTTCGGTGTCACACAGTGTCGCTGTTTGGTGCAGACGTATTGGTCTGCAGGGGGAGCCAGGTCTCCAGCGTCCTCCGTGTTAAAATGTGTGTATAAATTCACTGTTCAAACACTTGTTGTCTATGCTGTGCAAAGAGTAAACTGCTGTATTTTGGGCAGGGGAAAAATAAATCTCCACTTGCAACCAAAAGAAGAGCAATCTTCTACTACATTATGCTTGTATGGAAATACAAAAAAAAAGTACTAGTTTCTGTTAAAGATTTTTCACAAGCCTACTTTTTGAGAGATTTAAATAAAAATAAATAGTTAGTAAGGACATTAGAACTAGCACAAGACTTTATGGGTTATAAGTCTGTATAAAAGAAATTTAATGTCTGTTTAGTGGTGATCTTTAAAGCCACATGTCCACTTCCTAGATGACGAAATTAACTCTTTGACTTGCCCAAGGTCATATGAATTCTTGTTGTGGGAGCAATGATGGACCCAAATCTCCTGAATCCCTGTTGAGCCCTTCCCAACAGTGCTTCTGAAATAATAAAGTTTAAACTGAAATATCCATTACTGTGCTATTTCAGCACAAGAGCAAATATACAGCCTGCTTGGATGACCCTGATCTGGAATGGTCTAAACTGTCTGGGGCGCGAGCGTTTCTGAGAATGAGATTAGTGCCAGACTGGCAGTTGGATTAAATTTTTTTGAATGTGCTTAGCATATAAGAACTGCTTGTGATCCTTAGTGAATAGAGAGATAGTGAAGCTCACTGTGACATATTGACATTGATTTCCCCTGTGAGTAGCAGAGAGCTTGTGACAAACCCACCACAGGCCATTCCAACAGCTGCTCAGTTGGGGCTCGGTTTTCCTTTTTGTGTATCATTGTTAACAGGCTGGTAAAGACAGCAGATCACAGAGGGCTGGTAAGTAGTCATCTGCTTAATAGCAGTGCTGCAAAGGCATAAAATTTATTATCTAGTGAGAAATGTTTTCAAAATATCCCAAAGATACGAATTTAAAATCAATGTCCCAAATCACATGCAGGAGTCCAGATTGCTCTCAAATGCTTCTGTGTGAAGATTGTTGTTTCCTTTTTGAAACAATTAGGACCCTAACTTGTCCCCTAGATATCAAGGTCTCTGCATTCTACCTTTTCTAGAGGTTTACCTCTTTAGTCTAGTGCCATCTGTTCTTGGGCTTTACAAAATAGTTCTGAAAATAACATAAGTAAATGTCAACCAGGTGAGTTCATGTGAAAACAAGTAAGATACAGCACTACTCTACCAGTTCCTGGTAGATAGCTTTAGATAGCCTAGCTATTTAAATATTATTTTGAATAATGCATCTAGGTTAAAAATGCACCTAAAGCTGCAAAGATAACACTAAAAAGCTTTGCAAGTCAAGTGACCTTTACTTTACAGCTCAGGAGGCAGCACAGAAGGTTTATGTACAGCTTGACCAGGTCACTTAAAATTGGTATTTTGGTAAAAGAGCTGTAGACAGTTAAACTCTGACCCTAAGGCTACTTGCCTTCCTCTTTTACTATCTCTAATTAAAAAAAATATGCAAGATGGTGTCATGTACCTGCTATCTTAACTGATGTTTTCAGTTAGCGGAGTTTAATTAATACCACCGCTATTTAAGCAAAGCTTTTGGTACTGGGTTATGAATAGGATACCTCCCAGCTCTTAGATCATACTTGCTAAATATGTTAAAAGTACTATACTTTTCTGAATTTTCTCCCATTAACTATAGGGGACTCCATTATTCATATCAGGCCCACTTTTAACTTCAGATTTTGTTTGTAGTTCAGACACTTCTCTGACCTTCACCTACCTGCTGGAAAAGAAATCTTATAAGCTGCCTTATGCTTTCAAATTAGCTTCCCTGTCCTATCTGTCATGGTCATATCAAGTCACAGGTTGCTTACTAAAACAAGGTATGCAATTGTATTTTGGGTAAAAACACAACAATTTTGTTGCTTATTAAAGTCACAGTGAGAGTGATATATAGGGTATATATGTGCTGCTCTTGTTCGAGTACGCAGCCAGCTTCTTGCTCTCTGTTGACCAGGAATAGAGCTACTATGTTGTTGTCAGTGGACAAAATAATGCCTTAGAATGTAAACTGGAGGTAGTTTAGGGAAGGATATTCTAACTTTCAGAAATTTCTATTTAAATTACATTGGTTTTACTGCAGATAGCTAGCATGACAACCAAAATCACAGAAAAATAAATGCAAAAAAAAATCAAAGGGCAATAAAGAGTAGTAGTCCTCTGGTGATTTTAAAAACAGAGAGCAGGCGTAACTAAATGGTGAAGCAGGTAAAAAGATTTATTTGCCTTTATCTTCATAAGATACTGTAGAGAGGTCTACTCATACTAGCTTTAGTCCAGTGAGTACTGCCAGAGCTACCTACACACGTGCACAGTTGTTCTTGTCCCCAGGAGGCTTGTGCAGCCTATGCTGAAGTCTTTTGAATCTTTACGATTATTGCTCAATGTGATAGCTAGGGAAGGGTAATATCAATATGCCTGCCTCAGGTATGAGGCATTCTTTGAGTAATGGATATATGGATCAGCATTTGGTAATATCTAACAGGGCAGAGAACAGGCAAAGAAAGATACAAATGACACTATATTTTTGTAATTGTCTAAAAGCCTACAACTTTCTACAGAGCATGAGCAGCACAACAGTGTGCATCTTCTGTGTGTGTGTTTTCCCTAGGATATTAAAGCCATATAGAAAGTGATATTTTCCCCATATCTTATAAACGTGTCTGCTAGTATAAGACTGACAGTGCTGCGGACTGTTTCTGTTATCACCATGTGTTTGAATATTTAATTCTAAAAATAGTCTTGCATCTAAGAGTACTTTTATTAGAGTGTTATTACTTCGTTGGTAAACTCCAGATCAAGTGACATTGTGTTTTTTCGCTAAATTGTCAAAACTCACTTTCAGGAAGAGAGCCCCAAAATACAGTGGCACCTGCTGCCTCATTCATGGGGTACAAACAACAACATCTGTGATATCTACTGAATATAAAATGAATAGTTTATAGTATGTATTTGAGAGTACTTCCACAGCAATTTTCACTTAAGAACATGGTCTGTCACTAATGGATTGACTACTTACAATACTTTGCATTATCAGTGCAAATTACTAAACAGATGTCGATCAACAATGCAGGAGCTCTCACAACAATGCAGCTCTGCTCTCACAGAGCACTGCGCAGTAACCGCCACTCCCTGGGCGAGTTCTGTACATGTCATAGCTCTCATAACAAGGAGGTGTTCGACTGCAATTAATAACCTGAGTTTGCAGACTCTGTCGCAAACCATTACAGTATTTTAGACACATTTAGTACTGCTGTGTTATAAGGAAAAAGTAGGTGAATGAGGCAAAAGTCACTAGTGTTGGTGGAAAATAGGCCAGCCTAGTAAGCCAATATATTGTACATTTTAATGCTGGAGCAGAAGAGAAGAAACAGATCCAGATGCTCCAAGTAATAAATAAGGCTCTCAAATATTAATTACTATAACAGTGGTCCCTAGGTTATCATCTAAAACCAGATACCCCAAAATCTAGAGGAGAAAAGAGGATTTTCTGTGAGTGCCTAGCCACAGTAATCAGCTGAACAATAATGTATTCCTTTCTTTTCAAGGTATCTACACTCCAGAACCACTCCACAATTTCTGGTGGGCTCTTCTATCTACTGGGCTTATGTTTGTGTATCATTTTAGCATCTTGCAGATTCTGGGATTGGTAAGTACCATATGTGTTAGGAAATGAGTAGTTTGCAAGTACATTCAAAATACAAACACTGTCTAGTTTTTCGAAGTGTCCAGATTCACATGGATATTTACTTTAATGCAAAGTTTTAATTGCACATCCTAATGGCCATTTGTATCTCATGTTTCATAAGTAGTGATAAAACTTCCATAAATTAGTTACGCATCTGTATAAATCTGTCTTTCAAATGCAGAACTGCAGTCAGATCTGCCTTCCTTCTGAAAGCTGGCCTGTTAATGTTGAACAAAGGATCGCCAGCAAAACACTTTCAATTACTATGGTAATTTTCAAATTACCATTTTAAGTGGTTTTACTAATTTATAAATTTGTTGTCCCTTTCCTAGGTCACAGAAGTGAATTTGAACAACATGTTATGCCCAGCCATCTCAGACCCTTTTTATGGGCCCTGGTATCGAATCTGGGCATCTGGACATCAGACTGTCATGACCATGACTCATGGGAAACTTGTAATCCTGCTGTTTTACAGTGCTCTCCCCATCTTTAAATGTAGCATGGACTTGTTTAGATTCCCCACTAAGAAAATAGACTGAAAATTCTCCTCAGGGAATAATAGATACAGAAAGCAGAGGCACTTATACTGAAGAGAAAGAGGAGGGATGAGAGGACAGTGTGTTTATACTTCTTCCCACAGTTTACTGCCTCAGAAACACCTTTGTAATCAAGTGAGTGTTTTTTCTTTTAACTGCTGTTTCTCACTGTTAATTGCCAATGGCAAAATTAGTGGCCTTATTCTGGAAATGATTCGTGTTTTGTACAGTTTGTGTAGGCTACAGTGGCTAAGCCACCCTTTAAAATTAGGCCCAATATCTGTCCACATTCCAGTGCAGAGTGTCAGTGCTACCTCGTTTTTTGACTTTTTTTTTTCTACTAATTATCAGTACACTTACATCCCAGGATAGGAACTAAAGCTGAATTATAATTCACCACTGGTAAGAACAGAGCATATCTTGAAGTGCATCATCCTGGCTTAACTCTTAGTGCTTGAATGTTGTTAGACAGTCACAGTGAAAAAATGTACACTGACTCTCCCAGTAATAAGTGTGAAACAATGAGGTTCTACTGTATTTTCATTAAGCTGGTTGAAAATATTGGAGAATAACAACAATAACTTGTTACAACAGTATTAGTAACAACGAAAATTGCTGTAAACAAAAACTGTATTTTAAGTGACTACTTTATTTCTAAGCTGCTGTGGATTAATATTTGACTAGGTCCCATTGTATCTTAAAGTTTTGGAAATGTTTTTATTTGAGTGACTGGAAAAAATGCCAAGTTGAAACTATTTCAAAAAGCTGTGGAACATCTAGGCTAAAATAGATATTTCATCTACTATTCTGACCTGCCTTTGAACAAAATGGTTATTGACATTTAGCTTATATGGAGAGAGAGTCGAGATACAAAACCCAATGTGAAGATCAGATTTGTTTTGTTGTTGGTGGTTGTTTTGTTTTGTTTTTAACTTGCCAGCTTTGGAAACATTCCTATTCTGTACTCTACACTGATCCTCAGTGAGGGAACAATATATTTTTTTCTCTCTATAGCTCTAATATGCTTTGTATACTGATTTTAAAATATAGGCATAAAAAGGAGAGCTAAACAGATCCACCTCTTTAGCTACCACTGGAGAGGTGGTTTCAGTTTGCTACTATGACTGCATTTACACTGAGAGAGAAACTTCTTTTTGATGCATGTTTTGGAGTAGAATGGGATGCAGGTAGGCAGCATTATAAATACTACGCGTACCTCTTCACATTTTTCAAGTCTAGAGGGCGAAATTTTGGGGCAGAAAGAGGGGAAATCGTGACCTGTATATATTCAGCTGGTTAGTTCTAAGTCCATTATTTGGGCAGACTGTATTTCAGGGCTGCAGAAATTTTGTTGTACAGAACTCTGTTGCAATTTATAGATTCATTTCATGGTATTGTTGTAGTTGTGACTTGTAATATAAATCAAAACCATCATACCTCCTCCTTCAGCTCAGTCACCTGAAGCTCTATTCTGAAGTTAAGGTACAGTCATGCATACCTCAAGAAGAAAAGTAAGAATGAAAAGTAAGAATGATTTTTTTTTCTTGTTTTAAAATAGCAAAATTTTAATTGGAGAACAAATGGCTTCTCCAAATATTTTAACTCCGATTAAAAAAAAAAAAGGAAAAAGCCCAAAATGTGAATCAGAAGTGCTTCACCCCATGTTCTGACTTGCAACTGCCTCGCTGCAGAATACATGCACATATGCATGCAATATATGCATGTGCTCTTCCCTCCCTCCAGTTATGGTCAAGTTTATCTTGTTTTATTATTTACTTTTGAAATTGGCAAAATGCCTTGCATTGAATTAAATCTTGATTAAAAAGAATGTTTGAAAGAGTTTTAGAAGGAATTTTTCAACATGAGCATTTTTAAAAATATATATTAATTACTATTTTGAAGCATTTTTCCAGTTTCCTTATCTACTCTAAAAAAATATTATAGCTACTGGGAAAATGTGAGTTACAAAACAGAAAAGTCCCCTCCCTTTCCCTTCTTCCTTTCTTTCTCTTCTTCTCTTTCTCTCACTGTCTGGCATAAAGCTCAGGAACAGGAATGACGCTTTTTAAATATACTTGACCCTCGGGAAATCCCTAGGAGAATCTGGATAGAGAAGGTGCTGGTGTAATTCCACAGAACCTGGCTCTGAGAGCAGACCCACCAGATGTGGTTGCTCCCATGCTCTCTCTCCACATCACAGGTGTGGCTCTGTGCCGGGGCTTAGGCCCCTCTCTGTTAGGCTAGTCCAGTTGTTTGGGGCCAGTTTCACAAGGTGGGATGAGCCAGTAAAACAGCTCCCCATTACCAAAAGGAAACACATGCTTCCCTTCCCCAGCTTACTTTAGGCTGGGGCTGCAGCCTTTTGAACTCTGCCATGCCATTTCTATTGTTAGAATGACTGAATGAATGTGGTAATTCAGCAAAGAAAAAAAAAGTGATGATTTAAAATGACTTCTACAGTCATAAAGATGTTACGAGTGTCAGAGCTGCTGTAAAACAGCACTCTGGGAGCAGGAGGGAGGGAAGGCAGCAGAGCCTTCCTCTCTCTTTGACAGTAAAAACAGGGACTGCCTCGCTGCCTTGCTTGTGAAGAGTTGCTGTCTACTGCCAGGAGAAAAACTCATCTGCAGTGCTGATGGCTAGACTGTACAAAGAAGTTTTTCTTGAAGTAATCAGGTCTGTGAACAACGCCCTTTATTTTCTTACTTTTTTGTTTTGTTTTAAGCATAGTAAACATACGAACTAGGATGAATTGATTACCGTCAGTGAAAGGCAGCCTAAATTTACATTCACTGTCCAAGCACCTCCATACACACAGCATTAATAACTACAATAAAATTGTTTACTGATGGGTTTGTTAATGCAAACTGGGTAAGCCACACTCCAAAGCACAAAAGGGAGCTAACGAAACTTATGCACCCACCATAATGTCTGGCAATAGTCTAGGGACTTTAAAATTACAGTGCCCAGGCTTCAGCTGTCCGGGACACACTGAGTGCTACTTTTTGAGGATTCAGACAGTGCGCGCAGTGTTTTAGCTATATCTGTTTGTTCAGTGTTCTTCTACTTAAACACCAAAGAAGAAATTCTGTTTTGTTCCCTTTGCTGGCAAATCAAAGCTCTTGGTCATACTTACATAAGTCAATGAAAGACCACAGTCTGTGAGCACCCACCGAGGCTTGGTTCTGGTTCGGCTTCTAGGGCTTGACAAACATTGCTCCCTAGTGCAAGCAGAGCTCCCTAGTGCTTACACAGGTGCTGCCTCGCTGAAGCTGGGAGAGAGGAAGAGTCAGTTCATTTGCACACCTTAAGATGATAGTACCTCAACACAGAAGTTCTGTCCCTCTGTCCCTGGCCTCAGTCGGGATTTTGATATTTCTGTATATTGAATAATGTTTTGTAAAATCTAATTATGCGTTCCTTTCAGAAACCGATATTTGCAACTATTTAAATACTGTACTTCTATGTTCTAAGTCTTGTGTGTAAACTGCAGGCATTGGTTTCCTATACATTTATAGATAAGGGAAAATATAGATGTGCTGTTTTTCTTGGTGTTGCAATTGTTTCCCTAGAGGCAGACTTTTATGAATTCAATTAGTTTTAGGAGTTAATGCTCTGAAAAGGCCAAAAATCAGGAAGAGGGCATATATCAGCCCTTCTCTTGGTATGTGGAGGTTTCAACAGGCAGACAAAGATCAACCTTGATGTTTTTATATTTACAGTGATAGGATGCATAACACATCTGTTGAGTTCTGTGATCTTGTACTCAGTGATATTGCTGTACATTTGTCTTGCAGCTTTTAATGTAACCTAATTGAAGCCAAGGTGGTTTGAAAATTGATTTTATTTTTCTCCAGAGTCAATTTTGTACTTTTTTAAGATTTCCATATTTACTGAGTCATCCTCTCGCTGCTGCAGAGGACGCAGCAGGCAGAACAGCGGCCGCTGCCACCGCACTCGCTGCCCACCCTGCGCCAGGGCGCTGGGGCTGCTCCCGCACTGGCTGCCGCACGAAGCTCCCTGTGGAAACGGGCAGCTCCGCGGGCCCAGCGCTCTCCTTCAGGCACCACATTATCCAGGCACAAAATGGAAGGGCAGGGGACAAGGACTGAGGTGGGGAGGCTGAACTGCCACATAAGCTGTTAGTTCTGAATAATTTGTGAAAGTGTTCTATATTTTGTAAACTTTTTAATGTGTTAAAACTTGTTAATGAGGTAACATTTGCAAATAAGGGGTAATTTGTGTATTTGTTTTTGTATTTTTGTCTGGTCCAGTGTTCTTTTTGTTGTTGCATCCTAAGTCCAGCTCCCTGGGCCAACAGTTGTTAAATCTTTATATTAAAACAAATAAATGCATTTTAAGGAATACTGCACAGGCACTGTGTATCTTGCTTACGACTTCTTAAAACTAGTAAAGAAAACTGAACTTGACTTCCCACTTGAATTTGTAAGCTAGTAGATTCCTAAGAGGCCTTGAATATTTGACAACTAATCACCAATCAGATAAGAGCATAGATTCTACTCCTAGGCTGTCCATAATGCCAGGCCTGGTCTACGCTGCATGTAGCCATTCCTGTAAGTGAGAAAAATGATTATCAGGATAGTGTTAAGCAGCATTAGAACTTATATCTCATATCTGGCAATTGTTACAAGAGAAACCCAAGTCTACTTTCCCGACAGATCCTCTAATCCTTGCTCAAATATTTCCATATCTTAAAGATAAAAAGCCCAGGGAAGAGTACATTCTCTCTGTATTCTGCCTTCCATTTGATTCTGTTTGAAATCTGAAAATAAGAGGTAATTTGTGCGCTACTTCTTGTACTTGCCGCAGCTTTGGTAGAGAATGTTATATAGTTCCTGTCCTGTGTCACTTCAGTGACAACAGAATATGTTGTCATATACATTTGTTGTCAAATACAACAGAACATGTACTTACACTTTCAGCCTAAACCTTTATCTAGCAATCACTCTGAGGTACTGAAGAAGCCTCTCTATTGCTATTCACAAATGTTTCTGGCAGTCATTAAATGACATTTAAGTATACTGCAACAGTGTTGTTGTGTTGCACTGTTCTTCTTAGACCAGCAAACAGGTAGCTGTATAAGCTTCTTGACAAATACCATTCCTGGAAAGAGAAAATATTGAATATCTCGCATGTGAATATTAAAAATATTGAATATGACTATGGAGTATAAATGATGCCTTTCTGACTGGAGTTTATTATATGTGCATTGTCAAAGGCTTTCAGCAATCTGGGATCAGAATCAATTCCCCAGCTTCATTTCTCTGTAACAACATAAAGACTGATACAACAGCTGGAGCAGAAGTCTACTATGAAATGCCTTACGGAAACCTGAGGACCACTAAGGGATTTCTTTATCCACTTGTTGCTGCTAGTTATTCTCTAAATCTCTCTACAACTCTAATACTTAAAGCAGCCTTCCACTGTTTAATACCAACACAGGTAAGATGCCACCAGCAGGAAATATTTTGTAGGAAATGTCACTAAATCTATGTCACAGTGGACTGCAAGTTTGAGATGGACGTTACCAAGTTCAGACTAAAATCTGTAACATGCTAAGATCACAATTTATTTACTTAAGTAGCTATTTCCTTCAGAGTTAATTTTTATCTTCTGTGTAGAAGCTTCAAGCGAGTAATGCCTGTATCAATCCTCAACATTGAAAGAGTACATAGATATTTTTAGTTAGCATTTTTAATAAAACCTTGATATTCTTTAAAAATACACTTTCTACTACAAGAATAATATGAACAAAGTATACTGATTTATTTACTCAAAGATACTATTGGATATAAATTTTGCTTTAACTTAATATTTATCCTGTTGAATAATGTTCCTATTGCATTGCATGGAAGTGTAGCAGTCACACTCGTGTAACTGGTTCTGCAATTAAGCTGTATTTTTAAAAAGTTAAAACCACTTCCAACTCTCTGAGAGTCAGAGGACTAACACTGGTCATAATTCAGTGTTTAAAGTTAGACATAGAAAGTACAAAACTGGACCTGAAAAGCTGGAGTGTTCAGTGACTCACTTCTGAATTAGACTGCAAGCTGCACCTGTCCAATTTGTTCCTACAGTAGGCAAAATGAGAAGACTGAGTTAATCATAGGGAAATATTCCTAACATCATTAGCATCTGAAATTATTATTAGTTTCAGATGTCAAAACCAAAACCAAACCACTTACCAAGCCACACAATTAAGGACAGAAACATAAAAAGAAATGGTGATTCTTTTTCCTTATTTTATTGGATAAATGATTTAAAAGGTAATAACAATAGTGTTAAAACTACTACAATATCTTTCCACAGCCATATCTCACAGACCCACAGATAACCTTCTATTTTTTTTTCCTCATTTTTATCTTTTTAAGCCATACTTATATTAAAATGCCCATTTCAACAGTTTCTTCACACTAATAGCAATTAAATGTGGAAGGAAGGAGGATCTAGTTATAAAGGAAGGGGTTTCAGGTAATCTGTGATATTATCGTAATCAAGTTACTAAGGAAGGAAGGGAGAGAGGCCCAACAAGCTACTCCAGGTAGCTGTAAGCCTGTTGTGTCACCATTGCATTACAGATAACTCCAGATGCTGGTGAACAATTCAAAGTAATTTTTTTGTAACATAGAAAACACTAAAATAACTTAGAAACTAGATCCAAATATTTTGAAAAGAATCAACTTTGATATACAAAAACAGTCATAAGTTGTTACAAAAGTTTCAAACAAAAGTTTGTTTTCTCAGTGCGTTTATGTACCAGCAAAATTACTGGGTCCAGAGCAAAGAAAGAGGTTTTTATTCTTTATTTATTTAACAGTAATAAAAAACGAGGAAAACATATCTTTGTATATAAAGAATCATTGCTGGTCTTAAGAATAAATGTAACCAGAAACCCTTAAATCTGAGAGGCACACTTTGGGTTTCCTTTTTTTTTTTTTTTTTCTTCTTTTTTTTTTCTCCAACATAAAAGGAAAGTCACCAGTTTATTTAAATGGAGTAGATACTCAGACTCCCCAAATAAACTTAATTCAATTAACATCACTAGCAAAAATCAGTTAGAAACTGTACAAAAATAAAAAAGTTAATACATTTAATCCTGCAGGGATTTTGTAAGGACTGGAAGGCAGGCTTTAGGAGCAGCATTTGGGCATGGCTGGAGGCTTCTTTGGTTCGATCTAACACACACAAGAGATGTAACCTACTCCAGACAAGAACTTTAAAAACCCGCACATCTGAAGACGAGTAAGGAGGGCCGTATACAAACGCCAGGGTGTGCCAGGGGCCTTGACTGTCTTGATTAAGCAGTAGCAGACCTGAGGTGGGAACTCGGGTGCCCTGCCCTGCCGTGGGCAGCACTGGCGTCGAGCTGGGGAAACGTCAGTGCTGCAGCAGGGCTGAGCGAGAGCTTCACAGCATCTCTAGGGGCTCGCTGTCTAGCTCGCTTTCTGAACATGGGTTTTAGGAAACTTAAGCAAAATAATTAAAAGCAAACTCTTTTAATGGAGTAAGGCAAACTGATTAGTGCTCATTGGAAGCTAGCGTTCCAACTTAAAAACAGTGACGAAACAGGCTACCTGGTTGTACCTTAACTTCTTATAAAGTACTCCAAATAATAAAAAAATCTAAATGCAGCAATATATCAGAAAGGGCAATAAACATAATTATGGGGGAAATGACATTTATGAAAGTGTTTCTTGATCAGCTTTAAGCAAGCAAACCTATTCTGTCCCAGCGCATGTCACAATGAACTGCACATTTTGTACAAAGAAACCCACAATTACACAGAAACAATCTGCAGCATTCTCAGCACTTGCATGCCGAGGAGGTAGGTGCCCTAGAAACACTGTAGATAGACTGATTATTCTAAGCATTTTTATAAAATATAGCATACAAGTCTGATTGACCATAGACTTTGTAACAGTTTTTTTAATTAGTGATACAAAACTCTGGTCCAGAAGGGTCTGACATTAACCCATTTTAAAAGCACACCTTTACTGTTTGTATAACACCCTTTGCACTATATTTTTAAGCAACAGCTACTGAGAGATAGACAAAAATGTGTTGTGCATTATGCTGTATACAAAAAGGAGACAAAACTATCCTTTTCCCCCCCAAGCCATGGTGGGAAGTATTGCTGACCTTGTCCTTAAAAACCTGCAGGATTGTTTATTCATCAGTATATCATTATTACACTGGTAAGAAATTCTGTATAACATCTGCATATATCGAAGATCTTTAAAAAAATCTGATATGATTTTAGATCCGCATGACCAGTCACGTGACCTGCTTGAGGTTGATTAGCACCTTTCAATACATATATATTTTTATATATAATAGATCTTTTTAAAAAACTTCTAACAATGAGCTCCTGCAGAAGCATGAGCATGCTGTAACGAGATGACAGATAAAGATGGGACTGGATGACTTTTTTTGCAGCAGACAATATGATTCAGTTTGTGCTCAGTTTCCCTATAAGGGCAAGGAAAAAAAAAAAAAACCCAAACCAAAACACCTCTGTCAGGTAGACATTTGTCCAGATTTCCCACTTGAAGACTAACCCATTTTAAAATGTTCCCCAAGTAGAAACACAACAATATCATCCAAAATAGCCTCTATATAAACATCTATTAATTTTTGCAGCGTCTGCCTGGCACCCTCTTGGCTCCTGAATTTTCAGGCCCTCTGTTTACTTATAGATTAAGGCATCACAACTGAAAATGTTAGTATTTGGACATCAAATGCTGTGGATGAAGGAATACTAAAGACCTTCTGTAAGAACCTCCATAAATATTAAGTAGCAAAGCTAACCTCACATAAGGGATGAGCATAATTTATCCAAATATTTTTGAATTTTTTGAAAGATTGTACAATTAGTCTGATATTTGTTACATCTTAATTTGTCTATTTCGATTATATATATTTTTTCAAACATTTTTATGAAGTAACTTATCTCTGCTTACTGCAGTTTACTCACCCATATTAGGAAGGTCTTTTCTATAACAGAAGGGATGTGTTGATCCCTGGCACATGCACTGAACAACAGGTATCAGTGGGAGTTCTGCAGGCACATGAGCAAGGAGCTAACTCCGAGCATGTACTGGGCTTGCAATGATACCACACATACCTCTTACTAAATCCTATTTTTACAGCTGTAAAAAGTTCCAATCAGTTTTCTTTCTTCTAACTTATGGAGAGGTATCAGAAATATCACACAGTACTTAGAGCTCTCAAGTACTATTCCTGCAATAGATGAAAACATGTAAATTATGGCATATGTCCTGTGCTCTTTCATAACACAAACACATACTAAAAAAAAGTTTACTTTTATTTAACTATGCTTTGATATAACTCAGTAAGTCCAAAAGAAAAAGAACAAAAAGAGGGAGGGAGGGCTTCTAAAATAGGTTTGCTGAAAACAAACAAACCAAAAATCGCTTAAAAAAAGAAAAACATGAAAAAAAAAAAAACACTAAGAAACCTGATGCCAGATCAGCAGAGAACTCAATATAGTTTGCTAGAATATCTGGCGCATTTGCTATATTTATTTCTATGAATTTTATATATAAGTATATAGTTATGTCATAGTCAAAAGGCACTAAAATCTAAATCCATTTTCTTCCTAATATGACATCTGCTACTCACCAACCTGTTTTTAAAACCCAAAGTGACTCCTAATTTAAGATTCTCAGAAAGGCATCGACTCATTACTGCTGCATTACTATGCCTAGTCCTGCCAGGGCTGAAGAGCCCTCGCTTCCCAGAGTGGGATGGGAGATCTAGTAGCCTAATGGGTTACGCCACGACTGAAAATGCTTCCATGTTATCATTACCTCTCATTGTAGACATAACAGCTTCTCTTCATCCCAAATAAAGCTTTTTGTATGTCACCCTGCAAATTTTGGCTCTGTGTGCTGAGCCTGAAGATCATGTATCTAGCTACATGAAACCTTTACTGCAGGAGTGAGACAGTGCACACTGACATTATTAACAAGGTTATGAGGATGCAATTCATTGTCTAGTTTAATACCTGAATCTGATATGTTTCATTCCCTGCTACAGCTATTAATGTAAAAGCCATAAATGCCTTTTTTTTCTCTGAACAAAGAATGCCTAACTGCAACCCTTAAACTCTTTCCTTCCATCCACAGTCACAGAAAGTCTTGATTGATAATTCAATGTTAATAAAGTAGAAATTTAAAATTGCATAAAAATCCCAAGGGCTATATGCTGCAAAAAAATCTGCAGTGACTCAGTAAACAAAAAATAACAACAAAAAGGTATGGGATCTTTGTAATAATGCAGTTTTCCCACCCGTTGCCACAATGAGCTTAACCAACTAAGGAGAAGCCTCAACATGGCAACGGAAACTATCATCATAAAATGGTACAGTAATAGAGATAGCTAGACCAAGAAGGGGCAGGGTCTCCTGGGAAGAGGTCTGCAGAGAGGTCCAGTGACTGGTCATGCGGCTCAGTGTCAGGAATAATGGTTGTACGGTGGAAGGGGGTGCCCAATGCCATTTTGGAAGTGATGATGCTGACGATGGGCAAGGTACTCTGTGTAGCTCATGGTCATCTTCTCACTACGGTACCTAGAAAGGAGCAAAGCAGCAAATTCAAGAAGTTTTACCAGGAAGCTGTGAGTAATATTAGAAATACTGCACCAGTTGTGTGTGTAACAATGACAACAGCTTGGTACCTCTCATGTTAGGGATAAGACTAACCTCAGTTGCATAAAGGCAGAAAATAGATCACCACTGATTTTCAAGGTAGTTATTCTTAAAAAAATTACCTAAGTCACAGCCTAACTTATTATATAAAGATGTTTTAAAATACAGAACTGTTACAAATTAAACTGTTACCTATAACATTACTTGAGGTAGAAAGAACATAAACTGCTGGTGACTTGTTGAGAATGTCCCATAACCTCAGCCAGCTCTCTATGCCAGGCCTAGGAGAAAAAAAGCCTGGAAAACATACCACAAATCTCTGGACTTTTAAAATACGTATTAATTGTCTGTCAAATTCTACTTTTCTAATAATTGCAGCTCTATCAAGTGGACTTGCATCCTTTTTTTGACTATATACAACTAAAGGAGAATCCTGCTCCCAACAGCTAACATTTGGGTTAAACTTAGCATCAGGGCTGTTCAACAGCATGGAAAATATTGCGACACCTACACTCACCTGCAAAGTTGTAAATCACGTATCTATACAAAACGATGCTATTCTGTATTTCCACAACTCCCACCTAGAAAGAACACTGCACCTCCTGTTTGTCAGATCTCTTTTCTGGAGTCCTTCTCGTTGCCTCCTCCCCTTTTCAGGGCTGGGAAGCTACAACAGATGCCTCTGCTGCTCGCACATAACCCAGCACCAAAGCTATGTTAAGGTACAGCAATTGTAGCAGCTCAGGTGGCAAACACAGCTGCTTCTGTAGCCTCTGCTGGGGAAAACATCTTGGTCAGCAGAACAGAACAAAACACCTTGCAGAGATGCAGCTTTTTGCTTTGGTGCCTGTGTTTCACAGCACCAGGGAGCCCTCGTTCACCCAATACAACACTGCTTGTGGCTCTGACCGAGTTTAGCTTTAGCTCTTATGGAACTGATGTGACTGGAACAGGGCACTCACTGCACTTGATGCATAAGCTGGTCTCTGAATGAAATCCCCTGCCAAACTAAACCATGAGCTTGGCAGTTAATGAAGCTGCATGTAAATGGGTCAAAGCAGGCTAAGGGTAGCCTGCCTAGAATCACAGCTGCTCCCTTAAGGACATGGGAAAGAAAATGCAGCCATCCTAGAAAATCAAGTCAATGCAGCAATGCAATCCTGTGAAATCAAGCACTGGGTGCACAGCTCTGCTACGGAGAATGCTCTGCCAGCGTCAAGCAGGTAGCTTGATGGCAGATGGAAACCTGGCTCATGCCCCCAGAAGAAGTAAAGCAGAGGCAATACTTCCTAGGAGAACTGAGGGCTGCTCCTGACCAAGGGCCACCAGGACCTGACAGAAGTGGTCCATTGCACACACAGACACAAGCTGCCGATGGCAAGTGATCCCTGCTGACCGCAGCCCCTGCAGATCCACCACAGCCAGTCAACACACCAGAAAAAAAGATCTAAGGCCCTGCCAAGATCTTCCAAAGTTGGGGTGCTACTGTGACAGAGTGAAAGGAAATACGCAGGCAGGCTGATACACATGCAGCCTCTGTTTAACGTCAACCTGTACTGCCTTACTTAGTGCCAGCAATCCCCATGATAATTAATGCAAGCACCTTTTCCTTGGAAGTCCACACAGCTATTGCTGAAAGAAAGCAATTATTAATATATACAAGAATGGTTACTGTTGACATTTGAAATCATCACTTACCACAGAGAAATATATCAAGGTATTACAAAAGCAATTTATTTGCAGTAACCCATGACACATACCTGGTTAGCTTTATGGTTTTCCTGAATTCATTAGTAATTGGAGCTTTGTAGCCTCCTTTTCTCAATAAGGAATCTATGGTCTGAATGTGGTCCCACCCTGTTGAATTTTACAGCAAAAAAGTTAGTGAAAAATATAGTGATAGGAACAGATATTGCAAAAAAACAGTATAGAATGCAAGTCCTTGGCTGAAGTTCACTTTAAACCCACAAAACATTCCCATCTGCCTAAGAAAGGGCAGTTGAACGAAATATGATGCACAGGATTTTTTTCTAAATCAAGTTTGCTGTACAATCACATATCTCGCAGTTGATTTTAAACAGGGACCCACTATAACCCAGTTTTCCTGGATTGAGTGTTATATACAAAATTATACCTTTCAGAAATGTTAAGTTAGGATCATGTCTCACTATCACTTTAAACATTAAAAATGAACACAACACTAGGAAAAGTTAAACCTCTGTCTGGAATACAATTTAAAAGATAAGCTGAACACACGCAAAGGACTTACAAATTAGACTCTGCCATAAAAATAGCTATTAACTTTGCAGTGATAATTCCTATTTCGGAATTACTATACCATAGTATGGGCAGCTGGTTAATAAAAAAGATACATAAAAAATACAAATAGAATTTAGGTTTATTTTTGTTCTCCAAGTTTTTCTGTGATTCCAAACTTTTATACATATTCATTTATGGAAGTCTAACACTTCAAGATAGCAGTTAGACATGTTATTTCCAAACGCACAATGTGATTAGTTAAGTCATTGCATCAAAAAGAAAAGAAAAAAAACAACAGAATGATTTTGGGTGCCAAGAAGAGTCAGATCATTATATATGGTCTATTAAGACTATTTAGACATTTTTACCTAAACTCCTGACCTTTATGAAACCTCCTGCAAGTGATCATCAAGGGTCTTCACAAAAACACTTCTCTAACTGGCAAATTTTTAATTACAAAAAAAAAAAAAAATTGCGTCAGAAATCCTCTAGAATTTTAAGTGACCAATTAGAGAGAGAATTATTTATTAAAGCAGATCTTTAGTGAAGATTGTATTCATTGTATTCTTTTGCAGACCAAATATGAACATAGAGAGGTAAAAACAAACAAAAAACAACACAAAAAACACGGAAAATCACACCGACAATGCCAAATTTAAAAGATCAAGACATATTGTCAAGCCTGCAGGAGAAAAACCATTAGTGAGTAGTCCACGTTAGCTGCTGAGCACACCAGCCTGCTGTTCAACAAGCCTAATCTGGGCAGTTCTTTCAATTCATCAGCTTAAGTCTGTGCCTCTAGTAAAAGGACACTTTTATAATGACATTATTTGGGCTTTCCTTATGAAACCATTTTGTTTCTATCTACCAAAACAACTCAGAAAGCCAGTGCTTTTAAGATTAAGTAGCAGTAGTGAGATGGAAGAAAATTTTAGCATTGCAAGTTTAGGACTAAAATGGCTGTTCAAATCTCTATCTTATTGCTGAACCAGGGGAGTTTCTGCAAGCCACTCCTAACAAAACATGACAAATATGTGAACATTGGCAGCTTTTAAAATGGCAATAATGCTCAATAGCACTGTACCACCCACTCCATATTTAATTCCACATATAGCTACACTGCATTTATGATTTGCATAAAAAATACAAACAAAAAAAACCCCACACTGCTACAATTTACTGAAATCCCTATAAGGGGATCGATTTATACAGACATTTAATTTGCATTTTATAGAAGAGTCTTTTCTTACAATTAAATATTGCTCCATCATCTGACATCAGTGCAAGGTCAAATATTGCATTTTAGATTTATATGTATGTTTAAAATCTTCACCAGATCATATGAAATAAAGTGCAACAATGACCTTGCTCCTTTGCAACCTCCGGTAAGTAGGTGGCGGTGCGTTTTGATCCTTTTTCATTGATGAACTCTATTCTAATGCCATGTACACCCACCTGCAAGAAACGGGCAGTTTTATTAGTGCATAAAAAAAAAAAAAAGAGAGAGAGAAAAAAAAGAAAGAAATTTCTAATGCAATAAGGCCCAGAATGCGAACATTTTGAGGGTTGATCCCCTTTTAGGATAGTAGTGTCAAAAGACTGTATGGAGAAGAATTTAGTCCACCTGAGAGCCTTGCAAACCAACAGCAGCACGAGTGTCCTTGTCACCACGCGGTGTGGAGCCCACAGTTCTGGCCCGAGAGGGGCGGCCTTGGGGCTCCCGTGTCCCCACGGCGGCCGCAGCACTGCTGCTCTCCTGGCCACTTGGGTGGATTGGGACCACCAGGCAAGCAAACAGCTGGCACATCTAAGAGCTTCAGCTACAAGCCACAATCTCATCTGAAGTCACAACCTAACGGTGAGAGACTTGTCCGGGTGCCAGCGCCACGTGCAGCCCTGAAGGTTTCCGCGAAGGCGCAAGGAGGCAAAGGAAGTCCCTCGGAGTGCCAGGAGGATGGGCAGCTTCACGCACCCATTGCCTCAGCAACAAGTACTCCAGCAGGACACAAGCTGTCCAAGGGAAAGCGAAACACTTGGTTCAATGTGGAGTCCAGTGGCCACGGAAAAGCGGCCAGGCACCTCTGCTGGGGGTGCTCAAGCCCCACGTGCAGGGTGCGAGGTTGCTGAGCCAGGAGCGCGGCGCGAGGCACCTTCCCCTCGCAGGGCACCTGCGACCACACGTGAGCTACGTGCGTTAGCAGCCTCGCAATCGAGTTTCCTACCCACATAACTTGGACTGTATTTCTATTGAAATACTGAAGTTCCCGAGTGCATGTGGAAATGAATTTATGTTTTAAGGAGTATAACTTTATTTAGTTATCACACTTGTTTCTGAGCATAACAATAATCACTTGCCTCATAATGGCTACAAGATTTTTCCCTGTGACAATCTATTCTACCCTAGCTGCCCGACAGCCAGCAGCAGGCAGGGCACATTTGAAAAGCTCTACACAACCACTTGCTCAATGGCAAGCGTAAGCCAGAGTTAAATAGGCTGCCCAGAATATGGCATGGGCTCACTTATGGCAACTTAAATGTACTTATTTGTGCTTCCCAAAGAGACTCCTGGGACATTCCCAACAATATTTCTCTCTCGTGTGGGAAGAGAAAGGCAGCGTCATGTCTAAAAGGCATCATCCAGCCTAGAACCGGCTTGCCTGCCAGGCTCAGCCCAGGACTTAGTTGCACCCAGCCTGTGGTACGCTTCTCAAATTAATTAAAATTGCTGATTTGGTAGGAACTGCATCTCAGCCAAGTGCGCATGGAATAACATCTGTGCAGGGCAAAAAACAAGCTGAGCAAGCCTGTTCTTCTGCAGATAGGATGGGTCCCAGCCCCATCTTGCCCATGACCATCTAACTGGGGCAACGAGCACACTCGGATCCTGCTGCGCTGTGAAGCTTCGCGTTCCTCCTGCTCCTGACCTGCCCCGCGAGCAGGGATGCCTTTCCCATGTGTGGGAAGCCAAACAAGGAGACAGCCAAAAAGGCAGCAGCCAGACTGTTCCAAGAGAAACATCTCTACAGGGTTTTATAGGATAGAGTAATACTTGTACATCTTGTCACCCTGTACAAGAAGCCAGAGATTACTTAAAACCGGGTCCAGAGGCTACATTGATTCAAACATACAAATCTTTCACTAAATCTGAGGAGCATATGAAATTTCGTTTTTCTATTTTACTTTTGAAGTGAACTCAACACAACCTCAGATTTTGCTTTCCATCAAAGCAGGTAGCAAAGTGGAGGCTAATACAGGACTGACAGTTTCCATACTGACCCAATATTTTGCTTAGGCATTTTCTAAAAGTTTACAAATCATTAACACAGGCAATTTGATTTAAAGTTAGCTATTAGTATGGCAAGAGGACCAGACCTAAAAATTTACCATGTACCATTTTTTCTCAGGATAGGGAAAAGAAACACACCTCATTTACTGTTCAGGCAACTGCCCCTGTCTCTGGATGGGTATTGCTGACCGTACATACCAGCCAGGCTAACACCAAGCTCATCCCAGACCCGCACTGAGACCTAAGCTTGGAATGCTGCAGCTCCAGTGCCTGCTTCTTCCTCAAAGCTCCAAGCAGGGTTACAAACCTCCTCTTGCAGCCATGTCCCAGCAAGACTCAGGGGAAGAAATGGCACCCATTGCATGAGACTGTCGGCTGGGAATTGCTCTGGGTTAAAGCTGATCCTTTTACCAGTTCACTGCTTATAAGCTCAGGTTTTGAACAGCAATAAGCTATAAAGATGTACAAGCAATAAATTAGTCTGTAGCATGTATGGGATTCTTCCTGATAACATGCAGAATAGCTTCCCTTTCATTTACTTCAACTAGTACTGCATTACACAAACTTATCCAGAAATGGAACATTTCAGAATAAATTAATATTAGCACATACTAGAAACTGAAACCACTATTTATTAGCTGAAATTGGCAACTTTTTAGCATCAAATTTGTAACAAAGATACTGCCTTCATTCTGATGTTCTTTAATATTGAATTCTGGTTTAATCACAGATGCAAGTGGCTGCTCTCCAACTCTTGACATGTTTTTTCTGCCTTTTTTTTTCTTCCCCCTTAAATGAATCATTTATTTACATATGTGGATTCACTGAATACTGCCCAAAGGGTATAAAATACAGAGATGAAGACTATTCCTCTCTGTTTTAAGAGAACAGGCAGTAAAAGTTGCTGCCCTTTTCAAGTGTGTGGAAGTGGAGTGGAAGAAGGGAACAATGTCCCACAACTCTTAAATGTCAACCCTTGGCAACAACAAAAAGGTACCTTTCGGGCATCATTACTGGCTACAACTATTCAAGCTAATATTTAAACCAGCACATACAGGCTTTGGTCTCAACAGTACAAGCATGTACAACTCTGCAGATTTATTTTACTGAAGAAAAGCAACTTAAGGGCAAACAGCTCTTTCGAGTATTTGAAGCAGCAACAGCTGATCAATTCTAGCTATTTATTACCCCACAGGAACTATAATCATGTCTTCTAAAAAGTTTACTCTTACAAGGCTTTACAACACTTACAATGCCTTGTGACTCTGCAATAAGAAAATTGGAGAGAAGGGATCCTGAATGAACCAGATAGAGTCCGTGCTTTTGCACAAGGTAAAACCTTAGTGAAATAAGTGAGAAAAGGGATAAAGTAACAACAGGTGCTCATTGACAATAACATAAGATCAACAGAGACAGAGAAGTCAAAGCAGCACTTTGCTTTTCTTCTGTATTTGTACAGAAGAAGATAAACTGGTGGAGATCAGAGATACAAGCACCTATTTGCCCTCATGAGGTGCCCTGCAGCCAAGCCTGGAGCCCCAAGCTGGCACCTGGTGACTTGGTGCAGGGCACGAGCACGCAGGGCCTCAGCTGCTCCTGGGATCTCAAACCCCTGGCAGCCTGGAAGGAAGCAGGATGTATCCCAGAGTCAATCACATAGCCCATTTTGTGGTGATGGAAAGGTTGTGACACTCACCACCATCATCATCATCAGCTGGACCACAGCAAAATGATTTCACAGCTCTGTTTGGCAGCTCCTACGCTCCTGGGCTGTCCAAGCCCCCAGGTGGGCAGTGGTGCCGCACAGAGCCCATCACACACATGCACAGGTAACTGAGAAACCTGAATTATGTTTTAGGAAGTGTCTTCAAAACCCACTGTGCTGAAATGGTCTTTTGAAAGCAACAAGGAGAAAATACAAACCTTTATAAAAGTTGAAAATGGCAGCAATTTGAAAAATCATATGGGAGCTAATGACAGTCAATTCACTCATGCCTCCTATTTACTTGGCTGTAGGCCCTGCATCTACAGGATCTCTCATTGCTTGGTGCAACTGAAATACTCATTTCTTCCATTTGGGCAAACAGTTCAGAGACAGGAAGAGCTCTCACTCTGCTTCAGGATAGAGAGGCCACTCCTGAGCCATGTCTTCAAATGATCTTGTCCCTAGGCGCCAGAGCACTACAGGTTGTCTGAACCTGCAATTTTGAATTATTCTGACCTCCGTCAGCAAATTGCTGAATTAGCTCCCACAAGATCATCAGTAGCATACCTACAGAAGCAAGGTCTCCTAACCAGGCTGATGCTTTTCAGGATGATCTGGAAATTAGCATTATACCAGACGGCAGATGCAGAATCTCTCTTTACGTCATATTCTAGCCATCCTGAAATGTCTTTTTGCCATTAACATTGCATAACTGCAGCTCCCTTAAAAGAAACACGGATGACATAAGCTCTCACTGACAGGGGCACAAACAGCGGTGAATCATTCTTTTAAGGACTAACAATGATAAATTCTCTCCTTCATATTTATTTATTCCCCCCACCTCCCCATTTTGCATGGAAACCTTGCACGTTATTTATCTATGATACAATCTATATATGATACAATCACTACAGAAGCATGTTTAATCTGGGAAGAAAAAAAAAAGAAAGTAAAAAGCATGAAAAAGGCAACCTCTGTGCCCAATGGTGGGGGGGGGAGGGGGAGAGGTAGCAATTTGCTAAAGGCTTTAAAAGTCTAGTATTAAAAACCTTTAAATGAAATAGGAGAGAGTGACCAAGCAAATGGATAACTCACAGACTACTTTTGACCCCTCCAAATTTCCCCAATGAGTTTGGCCTCTCCTGTAAGAAAAATCCTGAGATGCCAAAACGGGACTTTTTGCCGAAGTTAAATGAGAAAAAACTACATTTCTGTATTAAGCTCCATAGATTAAAGTTTCAAGTTTTATAAATTTGTCTCCCTGGTTGTTGAATTCTGAAGAATTCTGCTGTAAAATGTAGAAAGTAAAATCATCCGTTTCACAGAAACATTGCAGTTATGAAATAAGAGATGGTCTCCCAGGAACAAAGCTAAGGTCCCGTCTTTTCAAGGGAGAGCAGATTTTCTGAGCTTGGATTTTAGTTTCTTGTTTTTAAGGATGAGTATTTTGGTCATCTTAGGAGTTTATTATTGAGAGAATTAAGTAGCATTAAATAATACTTTTAGTACTATATACCATGGAAAAAGCTAAATATTACCTGGTACCTCACATTTCTACAGATAGTCTAATTTTTAGTAAATTTAATTGTTACATCTAAAACATCACTATGATAAGCACTAAAAATTAACCCAGCAAACCAGGAAGTCTAGTCTTTAAGGTTTAAAAATAGAACTCATCATAGTTTTGAATAGTTGAAAACCTGTTTAAAACATACAGGTAATTTTAGGGCCCAGAGAGAAGATAAATGACTCCCCTGAAGAAAAGCTACTTCTTGTTCAGAACATAGCCAAAGTTTGAGTTCAGGATTATTTTTCTGTCTGACATTAAGTAATGAGTAATTCTGTTTATGATTAAAATGGTGATTAATCCCCAAGGAAACCTACATTCCTTGTATTCTGCAGGAGCAATCAGATCAGCAGTCTTTGTCAGGATGAGTTTAACAAAAAATGCGCTTTTATTAAATTTTCAAAGACCATAAAACAAATACTGTTAAAGTTATGGCTGAAGATCACCTCAGCAGGGCCCCTTAGCATTTTAACAGTGAACATTTCCCATGCAAAATGCTTTTTTTTGTTGTATATGCGCAACATCAGAGGTATTTAGTAGGACTAAGCTGTCATTAAAGGGCAATATTGGAACTTGTGTGGCATCTGCGCCATCTCTGGTATTATGACATGTTCCCACTGTCATATATGACAATTTCTATCTTTTTTTTTTTTTTTTAAAAAAACATCCGCTCTTATAAAAAAGAGCAACAAAAAATCATAGTGGCTGAGATAAAAAGTTCACTTAAAGTCCTATAACTTGTTTTTTTGGTAACAAAAACAAGAGCAGAGGGAAAGAGCATAAAAATAGAGAATAACACTTGCTTCAGGATACTTTCTCAGACATAACTCTAAAAGCAACATTTGCTTCTTCACCTGTGACTTTTATGCTGCTCTCCCAAGAGAATGCACACAGGTTTCCTAGAACCAAGCAAGTAAAACAGATTCTGCTCCAGGCATAACTAGCAAACAAAAAATAGAGCAATGATTTACTTGGCCTAACTCTGTAAAGAATTTGTGGACTCTGTGCAGGCCAGTCATAAAAGCAAAGACTTTGCTTGCTCCTGCAAGCTAAATGAGATAGTTTGACATGGGATTTTATTTTTTTGCAGTGCATTTCTGAAGCACACACCAGGCTACTAGCTTTCATACCAGTAAATGCTCTTTCCCGACTCAATGGACTGACCCACTAGGTTTCTGTAGCTAGCTATGCTACAAGACAGATTTAAGGACATCATCAGTCACACGATATCCTGCATTATGGAGTCTTAAGGCAAAAATCAGCTGTGCAGGCCACTATTTTCATCATGTAAGTGGGCATGAAAACAACTGTATTCCATTTGCATCACTCAGACTTCCAAGATGATGGCAATCTTACCAAAATAATCTCCTGCATCTATACACAGGTTGCAAAACAATGACAACCACAGCAAATATATTCAGAAAATTCAAATGTTGTGCCTGTTGCTATACAAGGGCTTATGGTATCAAAGTAATTTTCTTAAAGGATATCTGAAATCCTTACCTCCCAATCCATGTAGTCACATACATCTTCAAAGTTAGTGAGCAGAGACACTGAGCAGAAAAGCCGTGGCAGCTCATCCCTCGTCATTGGGGGGAAACGACTATCTTTAAGGGCACTGTTGAAGACAAAACAGAATTTCAAAGGCCTTTTTTTCCCCCCCTTCTTGTTAAAGCTGAAGGATCTAATCAGCCAAATGAAAAGTATAAAGGACAAAAAACGACCCACAAAAAATCAGAAACCTGATGAAGTGATGACCACTCGGATAATTCAGCTGCCAATGCAATAATACACTCAATAACATTCCAAATTCTTTCTTTAGATGTCTGCATCAGGTTTCTTGGCTGGCCAGGCAATAGGCGCTCTAAGCCATCGTTTCTACCTGAGCTTACTTTGCTACTGTGACAATCTTATTAACAAAAAAAAAAAAAAAAAGAAAATACATTTTACAGCCCTTCCTCATGAACTTTAGTATACCCCTATCAAAAAGGTTAAACTCTAACACACCGAACAGTGGGGGAAATTCTATAGCCTGCAAATCATCCAATGAGTAATGCAGTAATCAAACTGTAGCACTTATTTAATGAATTAAGAGATAATAATAAAAAAGATAAAGCACAACATTCTCTAAAAAGAGGCATATTCATGTTTATCGGCAAAGTTGAATATAAAAAGGTACAAATATTGAGAGGCAACACCGCCTGCTGGCCCACAGGGCTTGAAGCTGTTCTGCAAAGCAGAGGTGATGATTAGTAACACGGAAGCCCACAACAGCTAAGCCACACGCTACGGTACTGTTATACAGGTAAACACACAACTAATGGGGTAAAACTCAACTCAAAGAAATTATACCCACATACACCAAAGCTCCCCGACAAAGCAAACACTTAGCAGAGCCACAGTAAGCAGTACCAGGAATAAAAAAGTTTGTAAGAATTTTTTCACCAAAGTTTGGTTCAAGAACCCATTAAATTAGAAGGGGGAAGTTAAAGTGAGCCTGGGATCACATCATTTCTTAGTCTCTTTAAGGGCCGGGATGAGTCATACATGAACACGATCACCTCACGTCCAACAGAAGCAAAAGCAATCCGCTTACTGACCCTTTTGGCGAATGAGAAGAAACGTTAAGAGGCTTGCAAAGTCCTACCGAGTTCTTAAGTGTCTCATTGCTTCATCTAACAGATCCTATCCCTGTGTCCCGGCTGCAGCCAGATGTTGCTATCAGCTGCGATTCCAGTCAAGACCACGGTGTTCAGAATATGGCTGATACAGTTGGTTGGCATGAGGAACAACTTGATTTTATTAGAGCTGACCACATGATAAAGCATACAGGAAATAAAACACAAGTCTAAGCTAGAGGAGATCATCACACGTGTATCCAGAAGGAACGTGCCATCGTGGACCAATGCCACGCGCTGCATAATTTAAACAGAACCTGTTTTGCTTCTTGGAGGAAAAGGCTTTCTTTCAAGATGCTGTGATTGCAAAAAAGGAATGTAATATTAGAATTACTAGGGGCCTTCTCCAAGCTTTGGTATTTTCACACTGTGTTATTTCACATAAAGAATATAATTTGGGGGGACAAATTCATTGTATAGTTATGTGGTGGCCAGTGGGTCTCCCCTGCCCAGTATTTGGGAGCAAAGGACACTCAGAGCAAAAAGACAGTTGTACCAACTCAAACCAGAAGTCCATTTAGGCCAGTATCAAGTAGTAACCAACAGTAAGTACCAGAAGTAATGAATGTAAGAGTAAACAAAACACTAAATATCCAAGGACATCACTTTCCTGGAGAGATCTCCTGGAATCCAGCTACTAACAGTTTAGGGATTTTGAGCCTCCACCTCTCCATAGGTTTATTAAATAAAGTGCATGGGTACATGCTCTTGATATTTCACAACACCTTTTAATAAAAACTGAAAAGTTATATTCAGAAACTTTTTTAAATGGATGTTTTGGTTGCAACAAATGCTATGCAAACAAAATCCACCACTCCTTCAAGTTTGCTTATATTCAAATTTCTAATTTCCCTGAGACATACTGTACCTTTATCATATCATCAATCTATTTGAATACACTACTGAAAAGCTGTCTGAGACAGGCTTATTTATTTAACAAATTACATATTCCAGTTTGCACAGTTGCCTTTGCAACTGCTGGGAACCAAAATTACTTTTCCCCTTGCACTGTGTCTTGGAACAAGAGATCAACATGTACAGCCAACAGGTACTGCCTATACTTGTTTAAACCTATTTTTCATTATTCATGCAACTATCTTTTCATGAAAAATATTCCCTTACTATATAAATATACAACCTTCAATTTAGGCAGAAATACTTAACATACTGAACCCAGGAACATTAACAGCAAGTCTCAGGTAAATTCCCAGCTGCTAAATAAGCTCTTGGCTATATTGGCCAAACTGGATGAGAAACCATGCTTAATTGCAAGCACCTCTGAAATACTACCAACATACACACACACACACACACACATATATATATATATCATGGTGGATGACAAGTTGACCATGAGGCAGCAGTGTGCCCTCGTGGCCAAGAAGGCCAATGGGATCCTGGGCTGCATTAAGAAGAGCATCTCCAGCAGGTCGAGGGAGGTGATCCTGCCCCTCTACTCAGCCCTGATGAGGCCACATCTGGAGTACTGTGTCCAGTTCTGGGCTCCACAGTATAAGAGGGATGTGGAGCTGCTGGAGAGAGTCCAGCGCAGGGCTACAAGGATGATCAGGGGCCTGGAACATCTGCCCTATGAGGAGAGGCTGAGGGAGCTGGGCCTGTTCAGCCTGGAGAAGAGAAGGCTGAGAGGGGATCTAATCAGTGTCTATAAGTACCTCAAGGGAGGGAGTGCAGAGGACGGGGATGGTCTCTTTTCAGTGGTGGCCACTGATAGGACTAGAGGAAATGGCCGGAAACTGAAACACCAAAAATTCCATAGGAATTTAAGGAAAAATTTCTTGACAGTGAGGGTGACAGAGCACTGGAACAGGCTGCCCAGAGAGGTTGTGGAGTCTCCTTCTCTGGAGATCTTCCAAACCCGCTTGGATGCAGTCCTGTGCCACGTGCTCTAGGTGACCCTGCGTGTGCAGGGGGGTTGGACTAGATGATCTCTAGAGGTCCCTTCCAACCCTAAGCATTCTATGATTCTATGATTCTATGATATATCACAAAAGGAAGCCACCTCTTAGCTAGCCTGCTCAAACATGCTGATAACAGTCTGAAAGAAGACAGGTGAATCATGACATATTTGAACATCGATAAAAATCTGCGATACGAAACTTTCACGTGAATACAGAGGAAGCAGAGAGGCACATACGAAGGCAACAAAGCCTCAAGCACACACGATGAGCAATATAGCTCAACTCCGTGAAGCAGAGCAATGCACCAGCACTTACCTCTGGAGCTAACAAGCTGGAGCGGCCAACTGCTTTACTCAGTAACAACAGCCACTTGCTTTCGTGCAGCTGCCTTGCATTAGCACACTGCCTGCAAACCATACTGCCATTGCAGTTCTACCTGAAGCACTTCCTTCCCACTTGCCCCGTTTATTTCATCTGCAGGGCCTGCTGAAAAACTGCTCCTCAGCACCTGCATGGCTACATGCTCCACGCACATACCCTGCGCTAACACCACTGCTGCCAAGGAGAAGTGAACTAGCCGGCAGAACGAGTTGATCGGAAATTTGATTAAAAGTCTGGGAAGTGACTGTGCCTGGTATATTACTCATTGGTATAGAGTACTGTTGTTATTGTATCCCTCTTCTCCCTGTCTCCAGATCTCACATTACAATTTGTTTTCATCTTTTGAAACAACTTCATCTTCAACACTATATAATTAAAACCAAAATTGATGTGGAGAAATTTGTGCAGACCAAGAATCAACAAGCAGAACAAAAAGTACCGAAAGGCCAACAAGAACGTGTTAACTTATACTGAGTTACACAGAATATATAGAACAAACCAACTACTCTGTTGGCTAATTACAATGTCTACAAAAGTTGTACAGTCAAGCAAATATACCAGGTGTCAGATTTAAGAGATTGATCTTAAACTTAACAACCCTGCCCTGAGCAATGTGATCTAGGTACAGCTGTGTACTCACTGCCCTCCGACATCTGGCATCACCTTTGGAGAGGCCAGCACATCTCACACTTGCTGAGCAAAAGCAAGTTTGCACGAGCTTTACTTTTGTTGTTCCAGCTCTGGGAAGAGAATTTTGGTTTCTAGAGACAGCAATTTGGTACTTATCAAACCCCGAATACATTATACAGAGATACACATATGTAAATGGTCATTTTTGCCTTGTTTGTCCTGGTAATACATCCCTTGGTGACTGATTATAATAGACAACAGGCTCCTGGTTTCACAAAAATTCATTACTAAGCTGAGTTGTTCACACTGAAAAGTCACCGTATTGGCAGTGAAAAGTCGCTGATTGGCACAGAGCCAATCTTGATTTGTATAGGATTCTTTGGTGGGTTATTTGATGGAAGCATTACTTCTGCTGGATTACAGCACATTTTTGTAATCTTAACCAAAGCCGCATTCTTCTCTTACGCTTCCTGTTAGAAAGATAAAAGCACTCCATTTGGAGCAAAGACCTGCACATTAAATAACATGTTGAAAAAAACATTCAGGCAACAGTTCTTCTCTTAAATTTAAAGGAGGGTGAAGTAGAAATAGTTGGCAAATTATGTTGGGAAACAACAGACAGAATTCAAAACAACTGTTAAAGAAAATAAACACATTTTTTCTACTCCTTAATGCCCAGAATTAATTTGCACATATTCTGCCAGGTAAATTCAAGTACATCATACTGCAGAGCTGAAAAGAAGCAGTGCCCAGCAAGAGGAACTCTAGTTGCCCAATACAAGGACGTTAGTTTTTCCGTGTGGAGTCCTGCTTCATGTTAAAAATGAAGCAGGCAAAGTTGAACCCTGTTCAAAGAAAACTATTTTTAGAAGACAAAATGCATGCACGCACATGCACAGCCTTCCTAGTTAAACTAAGTTATATTTATGCAGTCGTGAGTGTCCTACTAAGACAGGTCCAGTGAAGAAAACATGGTGTTACTCAGCTGTCAGTTTTTAAGTTGAGTCACA